CTGTGGCTGCTGTGGTAACAGTTACAACAGCACCTTTTTCAGGGAGGCAGTGGCAGCTGTGATCGTTGTTATTGATATTATTACTCTGTCTTGATTGAATATCATCAATGTACTCTCTTATGGACATTCTCTGATGGATCTAAAATAACTTGTTGATTTAAGATTGGGGCATTTTACTGGGAGATAATGGGAGAAATGACTTCCAAGCTTCTTACATGTCAATCCAGCAATGAGAGGTGCTTTCTGATGTGTTTTAACTTCCTCTTCTGTTAGTCTGCATACCAGTCCGGAGAGTCTCTTGAGAGAAGATCTTGAAATAGCTTCTCAGAGTTTTAACAGAGGGCTAGATATGACTTTCTGGGTAAATGGTAGATGCCACTTGTCCAATCTGCCCAAATAATTCACTTTAAATTCCTCATTTTAGAATCCTGGGAAACACTTTGCTGTAAGCGATAACCATCACATCAGCACTCTATTGCAAGTGTTGATTATTAGGTAATATTAAAGAAAAAAATAAAAGAGTTCTTCTATGCTCCAACCAGGATCCCATGTTACCGAATTTCCTATGTTATTCAGATGTTCATCCTGGATGGAGCACAGGAGAACTCTTTGATGAGTTCCAGCACATAGTAACAGCATGGACAAATATATTTGAATAGTCACTCTGCTAGACCTCTGACTAGCATCTAACATTATTGTGGTAAAAAAAAAATGCAACCAAACATTAATCAATTCAACAATTTCTCCATTGATTAACATCCATAAAACTTTCCATGTTGTACCACCACCACCTCTCTCCTTGTCAAAAATTTCCACACGCACCATTGTAAATGGAATGTCCCCTAAACAAACACTTGGTTTAAATTAGACATATAAACAGACATATGCATTTCAACAGATTTCTTAGTGGTACATGTTGCCATTGTAAGATTTCAAAATGGATGCCCAGAACTTTCTTAAGTATTTTGAGCACTAACAAATAATAAGAATGTTATGTAAACAAGACCACGATGGTAAGTATGCTTAAAGTATTTCTGCTTCCAATTAAGAAATAAGTGCTATGCCATGAAACGTAAATGGAAGTTCAGTGCCTTTAACTTTGGTTTCTCTGGTACCTCATTCAACATTGAACATATGGTGCTCCATCTTTGGAGTTTCAAACATGGTCAATACTAAGTATGTAGACAGAAACGGAAACGCTGGACTGCTAACTTTAATCTGAAAGCTTTTCAGGGTTTTTCAGACAGAAATCAGATGCTGATGACTGCTTGCCACTGTCAAACTTTATTGTGTGCATTACAGAAAGACAATAGGTACAACAAAGGTCACATGATAGAACAGGTTGAATTCTCCGAAATCTTCCCTGGAGAAACAAAAACAGAAAGGTCCAATTAATTTAAGGTGACATAGGAACATCAATGACAAGTACATTTGAATAATTACCCTGCCTAAGTTCACATGTCATTATTGTTTTGGTAAAAACAAACCCAATAAAACATTCACAAATTCCACAATTTCTACATCCGGTAGCATTCATTTCATTTCTCGTGCTGTGTCATCATTTCCATTATCCTTTCCCAAATAATTGCATACCCATCAACATAAATGTCATGTCCCCTAGACAAAAGTTTGAGTGTTTTATTTAATCTTCAAAATAACCTCATGAGGTTATATTTTACAGGTGAGAAATGGCCTTTCTGAAAGTCAATATTTTTACCTTGTGGGCCTAAATAATAGTCTCATATACATATATTTATCCTATTTCACTCTTTTCCTTTAAATGAGGGTATAAAACAAACCCCCTGGGGATATAATTTTCCTTACTGACTTAAGCCAGAAGAGACTAAGAATCCAGAAGGACCAGGAAGATACGGATCATCTCAAGGTTGCATGACAGTAGACCGAGACCTTTCTCCTATCTGATAGCTTTAATATCTTCCTTATATATGAGCCCACAGTAAAACTTTTAATGAGCCAGGATATCAAAACTTTAGTAGAATTTCTCCAACTATTCTGGAATATGGAGAGAATATTACAGGCATATGATGAGAATCATACACGTTGAAGTCCCCATAAACTGATAAGATATCTCATATTCATTAAATTCATTGATAAGCTCGGTCAAGTTTTTTTAGACCCCTCAGTAGGATGGGGAAAGCCAGTTGCCTGGCACAATTGTCTGACTCACTGGCAATCCCAGATAGTCAACTGCAGCTTCACATTTACCTGAATAGAAGCAGCAGCTCAAGACTCTGAGTTTGGGCAAGCCATGAAAAATTGAAATGCAAATGAAATTTGCAAACATGACAAAAACCAGGGAAAAGGGAATTAAGTTCCTAGAACAGAAATCCAGCATTTTTCATGCTAAGACTAGCAGGCTGGCTTAATCACATTTTCAGTTAACACTGATGATAATGACCCTGGTGGCCAGATTCTGTATTTAGCTTTGCAAAAGCAGGGAGCAAAGGTGAAAGAGATAAAACTGTGCTGAGAATTATCTTTCCATATTTCTGTGCCACACAAATGTCACTTTAGCATGGGCAAATTGTCTCCTGAGATCGATTTCCTTTGCTTATCCTCTCATAGAAGCCCTAGTGGCACAATGGTTAAAGTACTCAGCTGCCAGACGAAATGTTGGCTGTTCAAACCCACTAGCCACTCTGTGAAGAAAGACTTAACAGCATCAATGCGTAAAGACTAAAGCTTTGAAAACTCTATAGGGCAGTTCTACTCTGTCCTATACGGCAGTTACGGGTTAGAATAACTCAACAGCAACGCGTTTGACATATTAGCCACAAAAGTGCAAAAATAGGCTCAAACACCTGAAAGATCACAAAGACTGTTTAGTACAGAGTATTCTTTCACCCCGGGACACAGAAGGTCACCACCATAAGCCAGAGACAACATGACAGCTAGTAACAATAGTACTTAGTAATAATCCTAACTGAAGAGAATGATAAGTGCTGGTTATTCAAACTAAAAGACTGTTGTCTATTCCATTCAATTTTAGAACTGTTTTCGAAAGGACTATAGCCAGAAGACATGAGTTCAAACATCCACTGTGACACTTATTAGAGTGTATCACTGGGTACGTCACTGTTCCAAGCCTCAGTTTCCTCATATGGCAAGTGGGGACCACAAGACCTACCTTAATAGATGGATAAACACAATACATTTTGTATCGGTATGGCTTGTCTGAAGTAATTATGATTATCATCATTATTATTATAAACATTACTTGTGTTATTATTATTATTAAGTTCTTAGAAAATACTATAGAAGGCTGGGATAAATTATCTATTTGATAAATATCAATTATCAAAGTGCCAGTGAAGTTCTCTGAGAAATTTTAATTGATTTTGTTATTATATCCTGATCACAAAAGAAAACCAAATGTGTTTTTTCAATAAAAGACTAAGGAACTCTGTTGCACTTAGTCATTACTCTACTGCTCAAATAATTCCCTAGAACTATTATTTTTATTTAAAATGCTCTTCAGTCTGTCAGCCCGCCTGGAGTGGCCTGTCGAAGTTCATCATATGGAGAGGCTCATAGATCAGGTTATATGAGTTTACCTGTCTCACAGAAGCCTTGCTGAGTGACAGATAGTCTTCTCTGTCTATTTTGCTGAGCACAAAGACTATTAATGATCCATCAAAAGACCATACTGACCTATCTCAAAAATAGAGCTTGTTGTAACTAGAGAAAAGATTGCCTGATTTCATCTGAAATCTAGATGTCATCTCTTCTAACTCTGGTAGTTAATGGTCAACAAAATGTAATTATATATATATGTGTGTGTGTGTCTATATATCTATATCTATATATAAATATATATGAGGAGAGTCAATAGAATAAAGCATAAGCAGAGGGATGAGTATACATTAACAATGCTACCTATCACATTCATAATCCTTTACAAAGGAGGGCTTTTATACACATAATTCCATGCTGACTCTATTCCTCAAAAAAAGTTTACTCACATTTAATGGACTAGGAAAAGGAAGATAATCATTTTGTAAAACCCAAACAAAACCAATGTCCTTGAGTTGATTCCGACTTCTGATGACCCCATGTGTGTCTGAGTTGAACTTTTCCAAAGAGTTTTCCATGATTGAAAGTAGAACACAAAGCCATTTTTGGAGGTACCTCTGAGTGGACATAAGGAAGTGGGCTGCTAACTGCAATGTAAGCAGTCAAAACCACCAGCCTTGGGACAAGAATAGGGCTTTCTACTCCCTTTAAGTATTATAGACTCAGAAGCTCACAGGGGCAGTTCTCTTTTGCCCTATAGGGTCTATATGAATCAGAAGGGATGACTTCAATGGATTTTGTGTTTGGGGGCTTAGTAAACTGAAACCCCCAATCTTTTGGTTTGTAGCTGAATACTTAACCATTTTTACCAAATTCAACTTATCACAAATCACATGGGTACATTTTTTCTTATTCTTGGTGAGAGAAAGAACAGCACATGCAAGGCCACAGTCAATATGTGGAACAGCACTTACCATAAGTGGAATTGGTTATTCGTATCATGATGTTCTAAATGTTTGGATCAGCATATCAAGAGTAACCTTCGGAGATCTTTTCTCGATCTTCTTTGTATCAGGTAGTTTTGGGTTTTTTTTAAACCAGGTAGTAGTCTTTGTATCAGAGACTCCTCTGAAAGAGGGTAGAGATGTAATGAGGCTTTAAAACTAATAATAATTTTGAAAGCAAAAAGGATAGGTAAAACCATATATTTAGTCCATATAGAAAAATAATTACCTTTGATTCCAAGAGCAACTTAATTTAAAATGCATCCAATTTCCATTGTACATCCAGCGGGGAAAATATTCTGTGGAGTTGAGATATGTCTTTAGTAGGCAGAAACGAAAGTCACCATTACTTGAGTTCTGGGAACTTTGGATTGAATTGGTGTCCTCTCAAAATACCTGTGGTTTGAAGTCCATATGTGAAATGGTTTCCTTTGATATGTTAATAAGGATTCTTGCAGGCTGTGTCTCCAGCCGACCTCTTGTGAGATTTAAATGCAGCAGATTAGGCAAGCAGAGGCAAGGAGACATAGAACAAAGACATATCCCAGGAACAACACCAAGAAGACAAAATAGAAGAGGTCAAGAGAAGGACAGTCCCCAAGAAGTGACTGAGTGAAAAGGCTTTCCCCTAGAGCCAGTGCCCCTTGTTTGGGACTCTTAAACAGAAAGAAAAAAATCTGTCTGTTTGGGTTATCCACTTGTGGAATTCTGTTATGGCAGCACTAGATAACTAAAATAGACCTTGGTGCCAGAAGTAACAAATACTTACAATAGGGAAAGATTTGGGGAATTGAATAATGGGTGGAGGCTAGAGGATTTTCAGGTGACTAATAGTAAAAACCTTGATTGCTGAGAAAAGAATGTTGATATAATTATGGGCATCAAGGGCACAAAAGGAAGTGAGGGCAGCTATAGACAAAGTCCCCTTCAAGACAGAGAACAGCTATGGTCCCAGCAAGAGGAGGCTGCTAGAATGTGGACATTGAATCTGCTTCTGGAAAGGCTTAAAAAGGAAATGATAAACATGTGATTGGAAAATGGAGGAAAAGGTACACTTTTATGCAGTGGTCAAAGACCTTGTCTGAATTATGTTCAGAAGTTTGGTAGAAGCTAGAAATTGCAAGTTATGAAATTAGATATTTGCCTGAAGAGGTTCCTAACCACGATTGTGAAGGAGCCATGTGCAAAATGCAAGACGAAAGAGATGGACTTAAAAATGAGCTGCACAAAATAAAAACATGAAGATCTGGAGGATTCTGTTGAATAAATTAAGGACACATGTCCTAGAATTCACCAAGACATGGCTACAGGCTATTTTGTTAAAGAGATTTGACTGATGGATCTAACCATCTACCATAGCAGCAAAACCATGGGAGGAAAAGAACATTGTCTCTTACAATTCTACAGATCAAAGTAGATACAGCTACTGTTCTCCAAGGCAAGTACAATTCCCAGAGCTGTTGAACAACAGCCTAACTGTTGGAAGCAGAGTCTTCTCAGTTTCTAAATAAGAGCGTCACCATCTCCTTTGCCTTAATTGACACAGTCACAGCCTCCTAGATTTGAGAGTCAGAGCTTTGCCAACTCAGTTGCACAATGTGTGGCTAGCATTACAGTGTGCTAGGGTAATGGGGCTGTTGTCTAAAGGCAAGGGGCTGGGGTTTGCCATGCCCAAGCTATAAAAGAACTGGACCTACCATTGATTAGCTCATCAATCAGATATACTAGGAGAATGGGACCTCCAAAAATGGAGGGTGCTTTTCCAGTGATCCCGGAAGGTATAGCTAAGTCCTAGGGTCAATGTGCCTTAATTTAGAATCCATAGGGGAAGGTCAATACCCACAGGCTATAAAGTGGGACAATTGCTGAGACTGTCTCAAAGAAGAATGATTTTGAAGTCATGAGAACCTGATATCCCTTCTTCACCTCCAATTTATTCCACTTGTAATGGAGATGCCTGCCTGTGCCTATTCTACTATTGTATTTTAAAAACATTTAACTTGTCTAGATTTCACAGGATCGTATATGACTCAGATGATTTTGAAGATAAGACTTTGGATTCGGCGTTGATTTAAGACTCTGAGCATGATGTGATAGGGTAAATGTGTTCTGCATGTGGCAATAACAAATTATGGGAAACCATAGAGTGGAATGTTATGGATAATATTATTTCCCTCCAAAATATGTGTTGCAAGTCTTAGCCCCATTTGGGAAATTAATAAAGATTGTTTTGCAAAATTTATGAGGATATATGTATGGTATAGCTTGAGTCAATCTCTTTGCATTCATTAAAAGAAGATTAGGCATAGAGACATAAACAGAGATGGTAGAAGATGGAAACTATATGTGATAGGTAGTTTTATTGTATCAACCTGGCCAATGAACACACATGGGATTAATAAGGTTGCACTTTAATTGAAGGGCAAACAGATAAATAGCTCCGCGAGCCTCACCTTTCTTGGCTCATGCTCTTTGATGATCGGACCAGTATGCAGCTGCCTTAGCTAGTTCTCTGCCTCAACTTTCTAGCTACACTACTTGTGGGACACCAAACTTATGGATTATGTCACTATAGTTTGAGGTTCCTTTAAGACCTGCATCACCACACTGCTGGTGTATACATCACTTGAGCTGGAGACGGTCAGACCCTCTCATCTGGATGACTATTTGTGACCTGCCCTGCTGTTTGCTACCTGTGGCTGGATTGCCTGAATTGCTCTACAGAAGACTCAGCTGTCTGCTTCCTTGACTTGCACTCAGCAGCCCTCATGAGTTGAAGGACTACCAATGTATTAACTCTCTCAAGGAAGTGAGTTACACTGAGCCATTTGTGTGCTCTGTAGATTAATTAGCTGTTTATTTCTTATCTATCCATCAAGCTATCATATATCTATCTATAAAATCTTAAGTGTCCTGGTTTTGTTTCTCTAGAGAACCCTGTCTAACACACTGTACTACCTGAAGATCATCAGGGAGTACAAGAATTGAATCTGAAGACAAGGACCTAGAGCCAACAGAGAGCCAAAGTTTTCCCTGAGAGCCAGCACCTGAACTGGGAATTTCAAGTTCCCAAAGAATCAGAAAATAAATTTCTGTTTGTTAAAGTCATTCACTTGTGATAATTCTATTATAGCCGTACTAGATGAATAAGACAATGCTCATTCATAGTAAGTAGTAAAGGATGCAAGATTTCAGATTCAGCAACCTTGGTTACGGCACACTTTTTTTTTTAAATGAAAGTGATTTGGGGACAATAAAAGACAAAATCTTTAAAAACTGAAAAGCACTCTATAGGAAAATTCGCTCAACAACTAGGTTTTGTATGTCCCAACTTAAAAATTCTAACCATTTAAAGGAAGTGTTTAGGATCCATTCCCAAAGGAAATTTTCAAATTCATGTGCCTCCTGAAAGAAAAAATAGTATAGATATTTATAGTCCATGAAAATCAAGCAATAGCATGAAGCCTTTCTGATTTTGTACTGGGGTTTAGCTTAATCAAAAAGATGCAGATTCTAATAAACACAGAGGTAGTGGGGATTATACAGTTTAGGGAATGTCCACAAAAGCATAGTATGTTCTTGACGTCTGTGACATTAGGGTCAAAGGCTGTGAATTGAAAGACTTGATCTGGAAAAATACAATCCCACATGCTGAGATTGTAGCCTTTGTCTTTTCTAATTACTAATAACTAATTATTCACTTAATAAATATTTGCCTTCCTGGGGTTGCAGACAAGGAATCCTGATGGAGCAATTCTCCTCAGTAACCATGCATGCCATGAGTCAGAACAGATAGAACATCAACTTTAAAGTTCTTCCAGGAGCTGTTTGATAGGAGCCTGCCATCAGAGGCATGATAGTCTGCTCATTTCATGACGATTTTCTGAGAAACTAGTATTCATAGACAGTGTGCTAAAGGTGAAAAGACAAAGCACCCAGGTCCCACAGTTGCAGTTTGCTTCCCAAGGGCCATCGTCAATACTATTAGCCTCAGAACCCAATATTTCCAGCTCAGGGAAGTGCTTTCTAGACCCAGAACACACCGTCCTCTTTTGTACTACACCTTCTTTGAAGATACCATCCTCTGTCTTGAGGGCAGGCTGCCTAGAGCTCTTCATCTTTTAAGACCAGCTCAAATAAAACCACTTGACACTTGGATGATGCTCTCCCACAAAGAAAAAGAAATAAAGAAAAACTTGATAGTACCTGGTGTATCATTCACAGCACCCCTATCTTAGGGTTGCTTACCTAAGAGTCTTCCATCAGTTCTGAGCACATTGTCCACTTGTGCCGCCTGGACATCATCACCTCAGGGCTGACCCCAGGGAGTGGTGCTTGGAAAAACCTTAAGAACACGCTTGTGGTTCACAAATTGTGGCCAGTCGGTGCTGTGCAGTCCTTCAACTTAAAACTTGATACCATTTTCAGAAACTTGAGGCATGATGCATCTACTTCTTTTAGGCTAGGAACTGGCACAATGACAAGCTAAGCGAACTTTCACCCCTCTTTTCCTCTAAAATGATGGAAAATTGTCACCGGTTTTTGAGGCTGCTGTGATATCAAACTCTGATGAGAGAAATGATAGTGTTTCACTGAGTTCTCACTCACTGCCATTGCGTCGATGCCGACTCATAGAGACTATATAGGATGGTGTAGAACTCCCCTGTGAGACTGACACTCTACAAGAGTAGAAAACCCCATCTTTTGTTTTTTTGTTTATTTTTATTTTTAAAATCCTTTTATTGGGGGCTCTTACATGTCAAGCACATTTGCACATATGCCACCATCATCATTTTCAAAGCATTCTCTTCCCACTTGAGCTCCGGATAACAGGTCCCCATTTCTTCGCCCTTCCTCTCCCACCCTCCCTCCCTCCTGAATCCTTGATAAGCTATAGATTATTTTTTCCATATCTTACATCATCCTCCATCACCCATCACCCACTTTTCTGATATTCGTCCCCCTTGGAGGGGGTTCTAGATTGATCCTTGTGATCGATTTCCCCTTTCTCCCCCCACCTTCCCCTAATCCTCCCAGTATCTCTACTCTCCTTGATGGCCCTGAGGGTTTTATCTATCCTGGATTCCCTGTGTTGTGGGCTCTTATCTGTAGCAGTGTGAATGTTCTTGTCTAATCCAATCTGTAAGGTAGAATTAAGGTCATGATTGTGAGGTGAAGGAAGCACCAAAGAGGAAAGTTGTGTATTTCATCAGTGGCCCCTCTGTGAGGGGATGTCCAATTGTCTACAGATGGGCATTGGGTCTCCACTCCATTCCCCCCCACCCCCCTTCACCTTGGGTATGGCTTTATTCTGGGTCTTAGATGCCTGATACCTGATCTCCTAGACACCTCATGATCACACAGGCTGGTGTGCTTCTTCCATG